TCCATCTATGTGCCCTAGAGGCTTAAAAATTTATTGTTTACTAAAAATTTTTCAATAGCGACTATATGTATACATATATATACATATATATATATATAAATATATATATATATATATATATATATATATATGAGCACAAATTCATGCTTTAAGGTTGTGTATTATATCCGACATTTCTGAAAAGAAAGAACGAACGTTCAAAAAGATAATGAAGGGTGGAGTAAATTTAGCCGAGGAGTGAAAATATCAGCTCGTTTACCTCTTTAATCCATATTTGATTTGTATTAGCCGCAAGTATTGAGAGTCATACAAAACACACAAATCATACATATTTAGGTGTAACTTCACCGGTAGAGAATATCAACGACAAAGACGAATGGTTTCATAGAGAATGAAAATAGATTCCGAAATACAGTTGGGATATAGCTTTGCAAAGCCAACCGAAAGACAATACTGAAAGAAGGTGATATACCGAGTCGAGCAATACCAAGTGAAACAAAAACTCACGATAATGCTATCGGTTTTGCCATGTTTTCAAAGCTGCCTTCTGTGTCTGAATAGAAAACGTCGCCTTCTCTAGAGAGCTAGATTTCTAGGTCAAATCATTCCCTTCTGCTCTACTAGCAGCTCAAATTCTCCCCACCATTTATTCCAAAGCTTTTGTCGTAAAATGTGGCTGCCAACGGAGCTTTTGGTGTCCCCTTTAGGATTGGGTGTATCCTGAAAAGCTCAACTGTAATATGCCTGGTTCCGTTTTACAAAATAAGTCTTGTGGTCTACAGATACAGCCACACACTTGACAGTTTTTGAGGTACGGTTGAATCAATCAAATGACTTTATTTACCAATGTCAGTAGCCGAATACAAGGAGTAAACAGCTTGGAGGTGGAGTGATGGCCTGTGTCTAAAAAGCTGAATAAATGACTAGTCTAGCGCTGTTTTCTAATATTCGGCATTCGGCATCCAACAACTGTCCATTCACTGTTCCCATAAAATAGCTCGCCTCGGAGGCAATATTATTAACACAGTAGCGTACTTAGCGTCTTTTTGTTTACAAACCAACATATCCTCTTGGTGAGACGTTTTATTACAACATTTGCATGCGATGTTTCGTAATCTTATCGAACTAATTCGGACCTGGTAATACATTCCAGACTTACTCACAACAGTACCTGTCCTACAAAAAGGAACTCTGTGTTGGGCAAAGTCATTACCGATCACCCTCGCTCCTTTCCTCTCAAATTGAAATTCGCTTTATCGACAGGTGACCAGTACCTGCCTCATTTATGGCGAGGTTAATATTCATGCAAGGCCCACCCATTATTCACGTCATCAGTCAAAGCAATATTTCGCCTACTTAACTTTTGTTCCCACAACGCGTCCATTCCTAATGCTGCCTTTGGTGTTGCTTCTTCATGGTTACCTCTCAGGTTTCACTCATCCATACTGCTGAACACTTCATTGAAACTGAAATTTGTTGTCCTATCTAAACACTGCTCAACCTCGTTGGTAGAATAACCTCATCAACACTGAGAGTATTCTGAGACAAGAAGAACACGCATGCAAATCTCATACTAGTTCAGAAGTCAACAGAATGTCTCAAATTTGCGTAACCGAGAAAAAGCAATTAGATGTTATTTATGCAACACAGAAACTCCGTTGGCCGCAAAGCCCAAGATGCTCTGTCACGTCATAATGCTTTATTAGGGCCAGGGGAAAAACACAAATGAAAAAGATACAATTTCGTGTATTTTCAATGGCAGCCCGATTTTTTATTCCACGTGTGTTTCATTAGATCTTTAATGATTCGCTACGGCACACTACTTTATAATCAAACTGATCAAACTGAGGTGAAAAAAGTATTCCCGACCATGTATGACCTATTTTGGCTAACATTAGTGTGCTGTGCTATCTTCTCCCTTATTTAGACCCGAACTGGCGATCATTTGGTCTCCCGTTTATCCAACATGTATGAATGCGCTAATAATAGTCTCCTTCGTCAAGCCGTTTTCAATTTCCTGGATTTCGGTAAAATCAATGAAATCTCGTCTTGAATAGAATATTTTCCTAGGTTTCTCTTATGCTGGATCCACCTAAATGCCTGAAAGATATTTTCAGTCTTTCTCGGTCACCCACCCCCACAGATCCTCTAATATTTTATTCCTGTTCTCCAACCAGGATTCGTTTCATCGTATCTTCGGGTGTTAGCTTCGACATCAACCTAAGATTGATATCTCGCATTCAGCACTGTCGGTAAATTGCAACGCTTATCTTTGCAAATGAAAATACTCAGTTTTAGCACCACTGACAATAGTTCTCGAATCTTTTTGGTTATGGGTTCCTCAGATGCTGTTCCACTGGCAACCCGAAAAGCACACCGACCTTTTGAGAAAAGACTTCAGATCCATTCATCCTAGATTAGCAATTATTACTCACGTTCAATCTCTTTGATGTGATATTCGTTTAAATTGAACTGTCAACTAACATAATGTATCTTTCGTGGGTTACCTGCGAAAAGTACAAGGCTATAGGAGAATAACTCTATAGATTTTTATGATGCTCTGTTCTTGTTTCAATTCTGACATACCTAAGGCATATATTGTTGTATATTTTGTTTGTGCTACACCACACTTGTCAGAGCCTTTTGACCGAAATGTCAGCATGTAACTTGCTAAAATTCTCACACACAAATACAGTGACAAATACCAGTGGACCTCAAGTATATGAAGTTCGGCGTATCGCATTATTATCATAAAATGAAGTAGAATTTCAAGATTGTCTGACGAGAGGTTTATATATATATATATATATATATATATATATATATATATATATATATATATATTTATATATATACTGGAGAAGACATGGCATGCGCTGAGATGTAAAATGTTCATTGTGATATCTCAATTGAAATTATAACTCAAAGTCAAAAAAAGTGGTGCGTGAATGGGACGGCTTGTTCCGCCAAATCTAAGTACCATTTTTTCGGCGTTTTCGAGTACCTCCAGAAAGGGAACTCAAAACTGCCCCTGAAAGTGTGGGTTTCCAAGCTGACTTGTGGACTGGTGCAAGCACTTTCGTTTGGCATCTCGTCAACTTCTGTTGTGCTGAATTTGTCATAGATAATATTGGTGCATGTGACAATTTCGTTTGAGCCACTTTATGGGAGTTTCGCTGCACCTTGGCTGTATGTAATGAGCAGAGTTCGTATTGATGAAACTTTCTCTTGGAAAGAGTTCTTATTCGTCTTGCAATCCACAGCTAACCATGAAGTCTAAAATATCTTAACCAGTAAGTTAGTGTTTCAATAAAGAACCTTGACGAAGCAGCGTACGCTTTACGTAATTCATCTTTGCTCTAATGGTAATTTGTAATACGGTAGTGTAAGTCAATAAATTCAGCAAATCGATCCCTGTCCTCTTATTCCAGGTTTTTCAGCAAACCTTCAATTTCCTGTTGTTGTTAAATAGCACCAATAAAAGTAAACGGATGTCTGATTGAATTCAAACGATCGGAAATTTTATTATTCGCTTTCACTTGACGACATGTGAAGCTGTCGCAAATACACAATAAATCTTCCACTTCAATCACAACACAATGGATGCAAACGGAACAGTGGTAATCTATTAGGACTAACGAATGCGCTATTTGGTTTCTGGGGAAAAACTAAGTGAGTCCCATAATTGGTATCTGTGTGGGAAAACTAGTCACTAAGTTTGATCGGTGAATGCTTTCAATGGACCATGCAGACAGTGTTAAGCAATCTGATGTGTCCTCTTTAGCACACTCCAACAGAATCCATGTTAGAAAAAAAAGACGCGAGAGGTTGGGGCATCTAAACTGGACTGAAAATAAGGTTATCTGTTTCCAGATCAGCAATTTGTAAACCTGTTCTCTAGTGTTTGACTTTTATTGCAATTTGTATGAACGGTTCCGATTCCTTTAGAGCAAAAGCTATTTTATTCATTTAATGCCAGTCAAATAAAACTCTTATTCCTGTGCATATCACGTGAATCATTAAAAGCTAGAACCAAACTGAACCGGTAAACTTAATCAAAGATGGAAAAATCGGATCTCTTGTACAGATCAAATCCGAAGGCATTCACAAAAAAGCGTTTTCTGGAATTGGAGATTTTTTGCTCGACCAAGCGCTCAAATAAAAATCAAGTTCATTTCCGATCATAGGTTTTCATAAGACTTTGTGCGCTATTCTTGAACAATAATATGGGAATGAACACAGCGTAACCAGTTCGCCGAAGAAGGTTGGTTCTTTCAATTGGCCAACCTATAATTCAAATGATGATGGACCTGTTCCGGTTCGTTGACATATTTGTGCATGAACATACAATTTTCGCTTCGTTTGAAAAGTAGTCAACCCAAGAAAGACAAAAGCAGCTGCTGCACTCAAGGTGAAACGCATTACCATTTCGTGATTACTCCTACAAAAGAATAAATACTTCCTTGATGATGTCGACTCGTACTTTGAATTCGTTGTTGACCTAACTCTTTCAGAGGATCATCGACTTCAAGTACTGAATGCCTTCGTGTGCTACTCCTCTCAGCCACTTCATTCGCCACGGTGTTTCGTAGTATTTTTTGTCATCCAGTTGACAGAAGCTAAAAAATGTTTCCTCAGAAACACCCTAGGTCTATAGTCAAATACATCACTTATTGCTTCTCTTGAAAATCGTTATACACTGTTTGTATCACAGATCTCTGTGTCAATATTTCATCTACCGTTTGCCTCCGGGACTAAATTCGATTTCTCATTGCCTAATGATTGTGAATAGAAGTCCATGCCCAAAAGTAGACCGGAGAGGTATAAGGAACTTCATCCCAAATAAAATATCTTATTATATTTTTAACTGTCCTCGATTGAGTTCCATATGTGGCAATAGGACTATAGTATGAAATAACTGAAACTGCCAAACTCCAGAGAAGAGAAGTAGATATAATTTCGAATATTCTGTATTGCAAGCGAACCACGAGTTTATTCAATTATATTTGATCGACAACCAATTCAAGCTTTAATTGCTGCAAATCGATCAATAAATTGTTTGTCGCTGATTTTGCTGCATTCATGGCATTGATGAAGTTGACTGGAAAAAAATACAGAAAGGATAGTGGTGAAAGCTTGCTTGAAGTCTTAAGGGAAAAACAAAAATCATTTTTTTCCACACGAACAAAATACATTGCCTCATTCTCTGTCATTGCAAATGAGTTCTCGATCTAAAACAAAACTCATCAAGTAATTTGCTTAATCAATTTATTTGACTGTCTTTTACCACTTTTCTCCATGATTTTTTCGTGTATATCTACTATATATTTCCTAAAGCGGTGTTGTGCTTAAGCACACTGTGAGATTTGACCTAATCTATTCCACTTTTATTTTCCAGGCTACTTAGTTGTTCAAGTCGAACAGCGTAGTTGTCTTCAATGACACATTGCTCTGAAAATGAGACCGAGTCAAATATTATGAGATAGCCTTCATTGAACAATGGTCGGGAATAATTCCAGATTGCTTTCAAGGTTGTGTATGTTCACATCAAATTCACGGCTGATCACAACTAAGTGATTTGGCATCAGGGGTCACTGCTGTTCAGTTAAAAACTATCCAGAGTGAATCCATTGGAATAGTGAGAGTTACCATGCAAACTGATCCGTTCTGTTCGCCGCACTTCCAGCCAAGCTGCATCGCCTTTGCTACTCACTTCATGAACCGAAGCCCAAACAAAACCACCTTCTATGGGTCTCTTTTTATTGTGCCAGATGTACTTTCTCCGTCTCATTTCATCGAGCGTTCTATATAAAACTGTATTATAAAATGAGAAAATGCACTGCAATTGGAGAATAACAACCTTTCATGCTCTTGTGCCGTCGCGACAATATTTGTGGACAATGTATCTCCGAGGCAACTGACAGCAGTCCTGTAGATCCCGACAGACAACTTCACAAATCTCGATGTATACCCTTCCCAGGAAAATAATTATTATGAATTTCTCAATTCTTATCAAAAATCATCTTGAGTATTGCAGAGAACAGCTATTAAGGTCAGATGTGACTTGATTGCACCAATTTGAGCTTGAGATATACATTGCATTCACTTATTCTGGTTACAATCTTAGAAGTTCAGATTCAACAGCTTTTACTGTGTATGTATGAGAAATGGTACACTATTTCAGAGATATATTTACTGCACGTACGCTTTTGTATGCGTGAGTGATCGAAGGCAGCAGGAGACGGCTAGATCATCACGACGTCTTGACATAATCGTGGTGATCATTTGACCAATGCCGGATACTTTATGCTACACTAATTAGTCCACAACTGCATACACCCTTCGCTATTTATTGTCACGGTGGCTAGTAGAAACATTCAGGAAAAGGAACAAACATATTGAATAGACCGCACAATGAAAACGAATGACGTTTTATTAACCATACTGTAAATTTGTATAAAACTTCACTAAAGCAGCAAAAATATCAGAGCCCATAAAACTACTCACTAGAAAACCCACTGAAACCTGGTGAAGTTCTCTCAAGTTGTTGTCTTGCATACTTTGAAGGAACACAGGCAGTGGCAGCGATTCCACTGTAGCGTACACATTTTAAGCATCAGCTATAAATATGAACTGCTTATTTGGTGTTTGGAAAACGCAGTTTTCCCCCTTTCATCTGCTTAATCGTTGTTTAAATTTTTATAAAATGTGCAGATTCTTGGTGCTCACTTTGAAGTTTTGACGAAGTGTTATAAGTGTAGATATTCCCATTTTGTTGTTGGTAGAAGACCTCGACTCCTAAAGCACGAAGAAAGAAAACCGTGGGTAGTTGTCAGGTTCCCACAAGCCCCTGATTAAACTAGGGACTTACTGTTTGAACACATCAAAATTGGTGAAGCATGGGATTCTAAGATGCTTTAAATAATATCAGTGATAATTTGAAGAAATATTCGACAGAATATGACAAAATCTGAATTAACCTAAACGGGAAAATTATCAGGCCATTTGTGGGTCGCAGTACCATCGCGGTAAACGGATTTTGCTAATAGGGTCGTTTCAGTTATAATGGAAGAAATACACAATAAAATGTATGCGTCGGTGGGAGAAGATAGATAATGAGAAGCGCGTGGAATATTTAGTTCTCTTGTAGAGGTTAACTGACCAACCCAAATTTCGAAGGCTTTCCGCTGCTCTATTATAATCGGCAGATCAAAACTCGAATTGCTTCTCATCTCGTATTCACTTATCAGACACAGAAAAGTATCAGTGATACTAATACTACGTTTCAGTGAACCGCATTTCCCTATAAACAACTCAGTGGTCTGATATTTATACCTAACGGAAATTCGTTTTCTCACTTGTTGTGTACCTGATTTTGGAATTGATTGCATCAGATCCTAGGTAGTCAGCTCAATATTCCGTGATGGATCTTGTCCACTGAGCACACTGTTGACTGCTTCACCCTCAGTCTGATTTATGCCTCACGACATTTAATCACAAATACTGAAACAGATATCAACCACCGAAAACTATGTGCATATACTTGTCTACTTCTAGGATGATCAGAAATAACCCACAGAAAAAAACGCTTCCGAAATGTAATGTATGATTGAGCAGCCCATCTAGTCGGTGAAATTCTTGATTCCAGCTCTTTAGCATTTTGATTTGATTATCGTCAATGAGTAGACCGAATTAGTTTCGATTGTCTGGTATTTCAACCTCTCAATTATTTTCTTAGGAAGTAGTTGCTGAAAAATAATTTACCGAAGTGGAATGCAACATGGGTCACTTTTGTTTAGTCATGAACCAAATACATTGCCCTAAGGCCCGGTTTCGAAAGGAACCGATAGGGCTTATATGAAAATATGTACAAAAAACAGGTTTTTTGCGCTGTGTACTCCTTGTTCAGAATTCCGCACTGTAGCAAAATTTCATACAGGGGAAAAATACTCTTCAAACACTACAAAAAGGTTCTTTCTCCAATCGGACTGTAGTTAGCCATGGCTTCCGAATAGGAAAAACACGCTAAATTTGGTTTGCGATCTAGAGCATAATGCCTGCATTGTGGAAACCTGCATTTCCATTCAAGAAGGAGGATGGGGCCGTTTTCTTCAAATAACGGGCGCTTACGATATGAATGCACCAGTTCACATAGGCTTATTAAAGGCACTAAATTCAATCAGTCCGATGGGGTGTTAACTAAAATATCCTGGTCAAACTGATTCACTGATGTAGTTTTTGCGATTATTTTACATGAGATGGCTGAAAACAGAGACTATGAGGAATTTTAAACCTAGACCAAAAAGTGCACGTCAGATGCAATAATTCAGCTACATCAAATCCGTTTCCTGAGTTATTTGAGGTTGGGGCAGTCACTCAGCTGGGATTTATGTAGAAGGCCATAGCGATATCATTCTTTGTGTTGTCAACAGCAGTGGGCATTCTTTATTCGTCGGTGAGGAGAACACATTTATGGTATGAGCTGGTAAAGAGCAGGGCAGAAAGAAGAAGGGAATTACTCCCCGGATTCTTTTACATTACAATAACATTAATACTGACACCATTCTCACCCTTCTCCGAGTTTGTCAAACTAGGCTTAGTATTGATGACTTATTTCTCCAAACAATGATCGTTTGAGCAATAACCTCTGACAACACTGTACATTGGTTGACATCGAATATGCCATCGAAAGCTGGTTCTTGTGGAGGATAATGCACTGCTGATATTGCGAAAAGTTTTAAAAATATGGTTGGTCAAAGATACTTGATGGGCTGTGACACTGATTGGTAGAATAAATTGTTACGAAGCAAAATAGGTTGGGTATTAGGAAAGGTACAGTCCTCATGCAAAACACCCTATCAGTAAGATACGTCAGACTGGCTGCTCAGAATAGAGAATATGACCGTCATCCTAATACTTTTCCTCGCTCTTTTGTTCGCGATTTCGTGAAAAATGATTGGTGTTTAGAAGCATCAGCAGAAGAAGTAGCTAGTGATGGAATTTCGACGTAGTACCCTTAAGTAATACACAAGGTCGAAAATTATTTGGAAAGCATGAGCAACACAATACGCGTGTCCGGACATTCGGTCGCCGAACATTTGCACGAATGAATATTTTGTCACTAGACCTTTGAGTAAATCAGTTACACTACATTCATTTCAATCCGTCAAATGTCAAGCTCTCAGAAAGTGGATTAGGCGTAGCCCATCCTTATGGTCATTCTCGGCATTTATAGGTAACACCTGGTAATCCAGACTCATGAAGGCCTCAACTGATTGAACTCGATAAGCGAAAACGTTTGCAGTATGCACTGTATATACAGTCACATTCCTCCGACTACGGTAACCTCACAACAGATTCACACCGAAATTCCTAAGGCGGAAGGCTTGAAACTAAAGGCATCTGGAATGACAGTGCGACGTACCACGATAGCACCCGGCGAATCTGGAATTCAAACCTTCAACATTTTTGATGTGATGGACAATTGATCCACTTGATTACCTCAGCAAATGGACAAAATGGCTCACCCAAATGGTTGCATGTGGCAGGCAATGAAGGCTAAGATATTCGCCTCAGTTGTATGTGTGTCATCCTATAAATGTGTAGTAGGAATAATGATATGTATTCCACTTTAATTTCCTGTCACCGTTGAGCCCAGTCGGGCCTGATTGTAGTCCTCCTTTCCACTTCCCAAATTGTTTCTCCCATGTTATATTTCAGTAAATCTGTGTTTCAGGCGAAAAGTCGCCCTTGCTGTATGAAGTGAGAAACTTGTGAACTATTAGTGGTCGACCCTGGGTTGCTCGGTCGAATGGATCGCTTCTTTCGACCAGTCACGACTGAGAACAGGCCTCGCCTGTCCGTTGCTACTTTTTAGAGACTGAGTTTGGTTTGGGCTATTGTGGGAGTAGCATACAGACAGTGACACTTTGAAAGTAATAAATTTTCAGGTTGAGAACCAGGAGGTATATATATATATATATATATATATATATATATATATATATATATATATATATATATATATGCAAGTTTCCACTATGTGTGCAAGAATTCAATATTTCATTCTATATTTATCAAAATATGTAACATAGTTTCGGGACAAAACAACTCTCACTTACTATTCTCAATTGGTGAATGCAGTCTGGTTTTCATTTTTTCCATCAGTTCATCCAGATGCTTCACAGCAATATGCAAATTGTTTACCGCGGAATTGCACGTACTGTCTGAATTTTGAAACGGTTGTGCGATACTTTAGTTTGACTTTGTTTCCATATTATTGTTTCTCAAATTATCAAATTCATCAAGAAAGCTTTTTATTCAATCAAATAATTTTGCCACCTTGTTAGAGAAACACATTGATATTGGGTGAGGCACCTACGGGTGTGAAAGGATGAGAAGAACGGAGTGAAACCTCTCCGAAATTGATTTATTGATTTGACTTTCTTCTGCTCCATAGGGCATCATTCTCATGGATGGCACAAATGGTATACGGTGGAATGAAACCCAATGAGGACCTATTTTAAACTGCATCTAGATTCATGTATGACAATGCTTTTTTCTAACAAATGGCAGGTGATAACACCATATACTCGTCGTCTGCATATTGCACTTTACTGTGCTTCCACAACTATCCACGTGGACTTGACCGTGTGATGACCAGAGCTAAGCGACTCAGTAGCTACCATGTAACCCAACCAGGTGATCGAGTGGCGATCATTAACATGACCATGAAAGAGGTGCAAGCTTTTTAGTCGGCTTTACACATTCCAACTGGACAAAGTGAACGAAGCGAGTGAAGGTACACTGCAGTCACAGACGGACTTCGAAGACAAAAGGGGAAGCGAGGACTGTAGTGCAAATACAATGGGGCAAAAAAATTTGATATTCCATTTGCCTTCACCGTTGCCGCGTGAACTTTTACAGCTGCAACAAATTTGCTGATTAAACAGTCCCTTCAATAATGCTTATCTTTCTGGATGAACCTCTTTCCGGAGTAGCGCTGTAAGACCAAGACTGCTGCAGTTGCGAAAGAAAATCGACTTCGGGCCTGACTCCAAAGGATTATGTGCTAATGTATCGGCTCCACGGAAGTGTTTCGTTTCTGTGACCAATGATACACAGCAGAAACGTCAACTAACATAACAACCCTGGCAAGCAACCAATGTACCGACAGCCACTAAGTAAACGCTTGAAACAGTTTGTCAAGCCACAGCTCACTTACTGATCTGATCCGATCACAAAATGCGGCACTTCAGGGGCCAGTTGCTAAGGTTTTTGCGGATGTTGGTAACATAGAAGCGTTTGTCATTATTGCACATGCAGGTCCATACGTTTTTACACTAAAAGTGTTGCGCAGCGGCCACTGGAAGACGGAGCTCAACTGCAGTCTAATATTCGTATGACCAGATAGTTTTCATCGCCACGCGGAAAAGTGAAGGCGGATGGAAATTCGGATACATCTGCCCAATTTACCTGCACCACAGTCCTCGCTTTTTTTTGTTCTCGAAATCAGTCTGCGACTGCAGTGTGACTTTACCCACTCTGTTCACTTTGCCCACTTGGAATGCGTAAAGCCAAGAATCAGCACGTTAGTCCTTGCTAGCTAAGTTCTCGCTGTATTGTTTCCACTTTCCACCCAGTTATTAGAAACCTGGTAGCAGTATACCGTTTGTTAAATTCCTTCAACATGGTTTGAACAGCGCGTTGAAGAAAAATACTTGTTTATATCATCACATTGTGGAAATGGACCTACCGAGGTTATCTGGAATGAACAGACAATAATACCGAAATTTTAAAGAAATTTCCCTGATTTGATGATCGATATATTCACAATTGAAATACAAGAATTTGCAACTATACTTTTTATGTACGATTGCTATTTCACATCCAACCGATTGTAACCCGAACGGAGTAGTTAGATTATTCGCTGTGGTTCACTAGGTTTTTTTATCAACATGAACGGGAGAAGTGAAACATAGGTGGTTTACTTCCTCCTTCACATAAAGACAAGCTTACATAAGCCTTTTTACAGCGACATCTTCCAGGTCTATTAGATAAACCCCGGGAAGGACCAACACATTTGTTTAACTATCCCATCCTATATTAGAAATAAACTTCACTGCCGGCAACTTATTATGAGCCGTCACGGCAGAGGTTTCTATGTAGTCCGCTCTTATTCTATTAAAACCAGATAAATAAATTTGAATGCATTCCACAACAATGGAAACTGAACCCTTTATTTCAGTCTTACATAGAATTTTTGTTATTATCTTCAGAATAAGCATTCCTTTTACCGCGCTTTTCTTGGGCAGGTATGTTGCAGCATAAATTTCATGGAAATCTCAGAGCTTCCCTTTTTTAATTAGAGCGGGGGGGGGAAGCTATGACACATTACCACAAAAATCCAGAAAACAGTCGCGGAATACCGGCAACCATAAACCTGAACCTTGAAGAGATGAATAAATAAATCTACCCTGTTTGATCCCTGTTGGTAAGGAGTCACACATCAGCAGATTGCTGTTATCCAATAATTTCCCCGTCAGTTTCAGCTTAGGTCTTAGTACATCAAAGGTGATGGCTCTTGACCACCAAAGACCATAAATTAGAGTCAGAGTTTCAGTACGTAGTAAAGTAACATGAAAGCTGTCAAACCGAAATAAATGATGGAAAATGCACACAACTAACTTGGTTTACCTGAGACAGGAATGAAACAGTAAAATGGGAAATTGCTTTCAGCAAATCTCAATAAACGACCTTAACAGATTTCAAAAAAATCATGGGAGATCGATCGTTAAATTTAGCCTTAATTTGTCAACTACAAACTCCGTGATGGGTGCACAAAAGGCTGTTGTGTGGAGTAGAATTATTCTCACCAATATGTACGTCCGATGCCAATACCATACACATGACAGAACAGTTCGTTCACCTCTGTAGTCCATTCTGGATGCTCATGCAATTTATATGTTCCCATGGTTTAGAAAATGAACGAGAACTGATAAGTGTTTGATTCTTCAAGGGTATATTTGCTGGTGTCTGTATTTGGCTTGAGACATAAGTCAATGTACCGAGCTATGCTCAAAGGGTCACTGCCTTATCAGAGAGAACTGGATAACTTTACTACGAGACCTTTAAAGGTGCAGCACACAAGGTCCCAAAATACCAAGCGGAGAAATTGTAGGACGTCCATGCATTTCCACATGCGTGCCTTGATAGTTACGTGGTTCTCAGGAGATGTAAACGAAATTCATCTTCCAGGCTTCAACTGCAGAACTGAACGAGCCTCCAACGTATAAAGTGATGATACGCCAGGTGACAGCAGAGCAGGGCACGGTAAATGCGTAAGCTGAAACAAACGCAGTTAACATAGCCAGTAAGAACTAACAGTCTCCTGTTATTTTCACTGCACTAAGACTGATTCCTTCGGTCACGCTGGGACGATTATTCCGGAATTTTTATCGTATTTGTTGACTTGAACACTCACAGTCGTTTAAAGGGTGTTTGTGATGCACGGCAAAGTTGTCAAAATCATTTGAGTGAAAAATTAAAAAAAGAGAGATATAGTTTGAATGGATCGTGCTCTTATAGTCTTTTTTCATCTCATAAAGTTTTGTATTCATTTCTAATTTTCTTTCGTTGGTAAATAGTCGCACAACGTGCTTCGAGAAAAAGAAATTTGGAAGCAAAATCCATCAAAATGAACGATTTTACCGGTAGCAAATGTAAGACCTTTGCCCAGAATGTCGGGATATTCGGTTGACAAAATTCAACCTGCGACGGTTGTCAGTCCAATGTGGTCTGTTTTAAAATACACATTATTCTCAAGTGTATCTCTGTTCGCGAATGAGAGCCGCATAAATGTCACTTATTCAGTGAGAGTCATAATGAAGAACCATGTGGGAACACAGCTGGTGAAGTGCAGAAACTGTGAAATCGCATTTATCCAACAGCACTGGGGTTCGAACTTCAAAACTTAGAACTAAAAACCCGAGATATTTAATACCGGGAAACAACCGGCGAAAAGGAGTAATAGTGTTTTTTACACTGGAAGCGATCTTAGGAAGAGATGAATGACCAACATAAATTTTTCCGTGGTATGAACAGACATACCAGATCTCTTGTCTGAATTGTAGCGATCCACTGTTTTGGATGAAAAAGGTGTGTAGGAATGTTCACGAAGATTATGGTACTGTGTGAGAAACATGTGAAGCTATTGAGATTGGAAGATTGACGCCAGAGAAAAGTTACGCGATAAGAAATCTATCGGGCATCCGTGCGAAGAATTTTCCCCTTTCAATTCAAAGAGAGGTCAAAACTTAGTTCTCCGCCACACATGACATGACTTTGATAGGTGAAGAACAACTGACCATATGGTTTCCTATCTGTACATAATGTGAGCAAATACTCCACGGATGATTATCTAATTGAATTGTATCATCATTTCCTCAGAAATATATTCATTGGTAAGTGCTTTACAAGGATGCCTAGCTGATCCATTCAAGGCATTTTCAGGCATGGACTTATCAATTTCGATAATGCAACTGATTTATCCATTGTGATGGAGCTTCAAATGTTTCCTGTTGCGTAAACACCGTTTACTTAGTTCAACCGAAAATGGAACCCAATTTTTCGTGGAATAGAAAAATTACGATAAACGAGGGCTCATCATAACGACCCAGTCATGTAGCCCTTATGTTTAACTTAATAATGATCTTTAAATTTATGAATACAATGCTATGTGATGCGGGAAAACAGTGGCGATTTTACAGATAGTGCTTTCAATCCAAATATATTTGGGAATTACTCGGTCTTTTTGATCTATTTCGATTCGCACAACTTTCATCCCTTGAGTGAACAAGTCATGAATTCCGTAAACCACAAAAGAGAGTTCATAAAATTATTTGGCATGACTAAGCAGTTCACCTGACGGCCCAGTCGTTCGCAGTCATTTTCAAATACGACACAGTTTGCAAAATGAATAATCTCATTCCATAATATCGAAAGAGCACGAGTAGCAAAGAAGCCCGCTTCCGGTCGCATCACGTTTGTGGCTGATACAGCTAAGTTTAAAGGTTATGAACGCATTAATTTGCGAAAAGCACTTGTGTGACAGCATGAGACTTAGCTTTCATGAAAAATGAGGTTGCACGATTCCAAACGATGATAGGGGAAATTCTGTTTCTCCGTGGTTTGGAAAGAGACCAGAGAAACAATGAACATGAACTTCCGGCATTAACGATTAACGGGTCAGACCGAAGGTTGAACTTCTGGGCCACGCTGAGTGAAAGCATTTTCTGTGCATTTTGCTGGCAACTGTTTTTTGTCACCACGTTTGGAAAAGTGTAATTTTCCTTTTTTCAAATAGATTACTGAAATTTTTTGAAGGCGAGTTATAGATGATAAGCATTTGTAATTGGAATAAGTATATTTCAAACATTTTAGGCCATACCTTTCAACTACCAATTAGATTTATGAACTTCTAAGATAAATCTTCCATATGATTTGTATGCGTGCATATGATTCCAATGATACACAGTTTAACTCACTTAAACCTCTCAGTTCCATTATATCTTGTAGTGTTGATGTGTAAATTAAAGTTTGTTCCCCAAGCATTTCTGGCAAAAACGAAATAGAGTGAAAAATGAATATTTTCTCCAATAGGGTTACGAGCAAATTACCATTGAATCTCTACATATGAATTTCTATTTTACAGTCTAGAAATCCTTATATAAACAACACGCATTCAATGTTTAACAAGTTTTCGTACGTAATTTGCCTGCTTTTAGCTCGTGTCGTTGTAAATGTGTGCATGTTCTCTGCTTCCAGAAAACCTGGCTGAATTCAGAACGTGGATGATTTTGTGATTGAAATGAAAAACTTTTCATGCTTTCGTCAGTGAAGGCAGAATTCCACGGAAAAGAGGTGGTGGCAATGTCATATATATATATATATATATATATATATATATATATATATATATATATATATATATATATATATATATATATATATATAAATTCCAAGTGGTGTATCAAGTCCAGTTTCATTCCTCCTACTCCTAATAGGGGTTTCCAGCATATCTTCCTGAGTTCGCGATGAGTTTCTTCGTTTTACCGTTTTTAACAAAAATGTTTACACAGCACGAAGCACCAATAATTCACTGTCACTTTTCTCTGTACCATTGATAGATGTCGTTGTACACATCTTTGTAAGAGACTTTATTTATGCTTCTTCTGATCTGTTCTTATTCTTTTTTCAGTATTTCATATTTTGTACTTGATGACAACTAATTATTCAGAATGTTCTTCTGTCAGAGTTGGTAAATTCCTCATTATGGGGCCCTTAGTATATTACATCTTTGCCCAAAATATACTCAAAACATGCTCACTTATCCTACAGTGTAAACAGATCCGTTTTTCCCATCAGAATTTATCTAAAGAAAAACTTTTCCTGTTCAACTGTTCTTTGTTTCTAGCCGCCTCCTGGCTACAATACAGCTTTAGCCATTTCCTCTCGGTATATTTCACATCTGTAAATATAAACCACCTATTCACCATTTATTGTTTTACGGGACCGGTTTGCTTCCATCCAGGAACCATGGATGTATCTGTATCTAAACCGCTTGCGCAGGAGTAAGTTTGTCTACGGAACCCGGAAACAACCTGAGATCAGTAGACTATGGAGCTTGATCGAGAAATAAATCAAACTCTTATAATTTATATTTCCTCTCAACAGTATCTGCACTCCAAAAATATCAAACACAGTTGGCATGGGATCAGACTACATTGTAGTCAGAAGAAAAATTTCCCATCTACAGATATGGATGGTGACCATCTAAGTTCCCATTTCGTTCGTTACTCGGATGATTCACTGCTAGTTTTACTACTGGCCAATAGTTTGGAAATCGGAAGTCTCCAGGATGGATAATTTGAGCACGTCAGGTTCACCAAGTTAACCAATCATTCTGGAAAGGACGGTCTACTTTCGGCAATACTCAAACCGAGTGCTGGACTTCTCTCTGAGCTACTGACTACTGTTATCAATCATTCATTTACACCGTCCCCCATTTCTTACTATTAGCGTCCTGTCACATTCATTTTCATACCGAAAAACTCGCGTAACCGAACGGCAACCAAGACAAAGCAAGAAGTTCTACCAACGAATACCGATTTGTTTACAAACACCTGCACTCCGCAATCAGTGCAGTAGTCTGCATACTCCGTTCATTTGCAAAATCCCTCAATGATTATTGCAAGTGAGTGAGTTGTGCCTTCCTTGACTATACGTCAGCGTTCGTTAGTTTACCACGACTCTTGTTTCTCATAAAATTGGAATCTTTTATTTGCATTACTTGACTGTCTGAATGAATACTTCTCGAGTAGAACATTATGTACCAACTTTGGAAGAGACGTTTCCAGACATCTTCTGAACAGTGCTAGTGTTCACCAAGGAGTTGTTCTTTCCCGATATATATATATATATATATATATATACATATGTTCACCGCTAACATAATCGATTTAACTGCAATCCAGGGAATCTGTCTGGTCAAGCAAGCCGATGACATTGGATTAGCTTGGTCTGTTACTCGGAAATCCTATCTAGAGGAGTTTCACTAAAACAGTCGACCGTTAAACAATACCAAATGTTTCGACTTCATGTTTCCTTTTCAAGATCACGTTTTATGGTAGACAGCACCATTATTGACTCAACTTCTACCTCATGTGAAAGTCACGTTAAATACCTCGGCGTAACTGGCCTTCACTTACAGTATTTACTGTTTAAAAAAATTGCTTAGATGGTCCTTCCAGCACACAACCACTGACTTTTCAGTACTTAGCAGTCTTTCATTTCTCTCTTTTCATATCACAGTATATTTCTCATTTTTCTTTGTAGTTCTCCCATAATTTGTCCTGGTCTGTTGAAAAAGGACTACATCACGCTTCGTAGAGGCTTGCGAATCGTTAGTCTTATTTCTGGTATGATCATAATGGACCACAAATCGGACTTATGTGGTAAGTACATAGCAGCATATATTTAACCTGCCGAAAAGGTGATTCCAGGATGCTCGCACCCGATGCATCGAGAACTCCCTGGGGAAACAACACCTGTTGTCCCACTGCATATTCCGACTTCTACCTTCAAAGTTGTAGCAGTATAGAATAATAATGGTTCCGTTCCTTGCTTGTTTTTTCAACATTTGAGGATAAAGTTTCATTTAAATGTTTACCCGTTTTGGGTGTAATGTTCCTCCTATCTCAACGGCTAAAAGGTACCGTAGAAGCGTCCCAAATATCTGAATGCTTTAGGCAAACAGTTGGTTATTATGGCCGTGACTAGTGCGAAGTCCATCGGAAAGAAAGTGAGCTAGCCTTGACGCGAGGTAGTTTCTGTGGTTGTCTCAGATGGAAAATAACGACAAGCTCCAATCTATCACTACCCATTCATTCAAATAATTAGTGCACCAGGTTGAAGGCAGCTGTATACATCCAGTACCATTTTTATTGTGCCAGTACTGCATTATTTCGAGAAAAATACCTATTGGAATACCTCTGTAAATGATTCATCGAGTGCTTTAAATGAAGCTCATGAGTCGGAATATGTGAGTCTATATTCTGATTGAATAATTGGGAAACATCAACCAGATTTAAGGAAACAGACATTTCTGCTGTCTTGGCCGATCAGCACAGCCGTCTTCATATCCATGCTATCTGCCATAAAGTACTACTCACGGTCAATTATCGAAATAAAATCAGTTGGCATCCACCGCTAGTTGTTACATCATAATATTTACAGTCGGTCTGACCCAATCCGAATGCTCTTACAACCTAATCTGAGGCTGCAGCTACTCACTGATCTTGTTCCTGTCTGTTTCTGTGATCACCCACAGCCCTACCAACATCAAGAAAGTCATCTTTTATAGATTTAGCGTTCACCGGGATCTTAAGCACCTAAGTACACTAACAATGTTTTGTAAAATTCGCCATTGGGAACACAGGTTTTTGTTCGCTGTCCAGTAGCAGCTGTGGGGGACGATTGTCTGAGAAACTTTCGTGCACCTGCATGAGGCTAGAAAACTTTGACACTGATAAAGACGTGAATTAGGGCAACAGAGTTGGGCCATATTGCAACAGATTCGAATCGATCCGCACCCGGGTTCACCAAAAGCAACATAGTTTCGTTGAACCCCATGCTGTGCGTGCACAAGAGCTTGCTTTATGATACGGTACTGTCGCATATTTGAGTACAGTTTATCCATTCGCCAAACACAATGAGTTTTTTCGGTTAGAAAGCAAATAAGCTACTAATAGGCAGTTGTGACTTGTTCCGCAGTTTAAACTGAGCCTGTAAATGAATGGCAGCACTCATTATTGTCATGAAGTACGTTATGGTGCAGTGAAGATAACAGACGGTAAAAATTGTCCTTGGCCTCAGCCGATCCACACACAGCCAGTGTATACGCTGAACTGGTGACTGTTTTGTAACTTGACTGCAAAGCAAACATGAACTGTTTGCCCGAAGGAATACCGTGGCTTGTCGGCTTCAGACAGATCCAACAGTTTTTATAATATTCCAGTACGGTTTTATGATTAATGATGAGCCGTTTGTGAGACGAATTAAGATTCGCTCTAAAGCCGTGAGATGCACAGTCCACAACAATTGTTGCTCGATTCAAGTTTCATCTTGGATTAAATCAAGCTCAACTTTCAGATTTTTAAAGTACAACCATTTGACTTATCCCAAAACCATCGGAATCGGATTGTAATTTGAATGAACAACCGCATCACTGTTTTCGGTAATGTCATCAAATACCTACGTATCAAATGAACCCTCGAGTTTTCACAACAAGCAGATGTAAGACTTCGTGAATAATAAAGTGCCTTCAAGTTGAGCAGGTTATTCGTTCCTTGACGTTAGCAGGAATCATGTGATATAGGCCTAAGAATGGAACTGCTCTCTCTCTCTTGTCTATCTCCACCTCGCTATCTCCGTAGTTTTCGGATTTATTGGGAATCTAGACCTTTACTTATTCAACCTATAGTATTTGTGTTAGAGCAGTGGATACGGCCTGATGAATAACTGGCAGGCCGCTTGCACTAGTCTCTGGTTAGCGTAACCCCACAAATACCAACAAGAACATTGATTCACCCTCGGTGAAATGTGGTAGCCTAATACACATCGAGAGCAGTCAGTGAAATAGGAACCTCTCACATTGCATTTCGGGAGCACATGGTCTATTACTAGACCATTTTATTAGCCCTAATGTTCCACGGAACTTTGCTGCGTTTCCAGTTTATTCGGGTTGTATCATCAACAGAGGCGCTTCCGAGCAAACTGGCAGAGCCAGTTTGAGAAACAAATAATTAAATTTAGATAAAAAACTAAACAGTTAGGAAGCTCATAACACTCAAAACATAGCTGACTGTATGTTGATGATCGTACTTTGATTTCGAAACCACGCTTTCTATCAAACCGACTTGATATTTACGCACACTCTGATATGATTCAATACTACTTATACGGTTTGCGTCTTTCGTAATAAGCGTAGTACATGGAGCTTACTGCTGAATTTCTTATGTAATAGTCAAGCACAACTAAATTGAGAAGCAGTGTTTCAGTGCCTATCATCAACAAGATAAGCAAATCCATAAAAGCCCATCCAGCTCATCCAGAATTTTTCAGACGCAATCAACTAGAAACCTTTCCGATTTGAACATTTGAGAAAACTACTGACTCGGTCGACCCAAACACAAGGTATATTATTCAAGTCGAAACCATTTTCTGGCTTTCTACGCTTTATTTTCAACAGGATTCGCACCTCCTCTGGGCTACCAAAATCATGAGAATTGGAGTAAAGAATTGAATGTATTATCAATAGATCAAGTGTGGTAGGCATCCGGGGCACAACGGCTTGCCGTTTCCTACCACTGTCAGTTTCGTTGACATAATTGAAACCCCTTCTTTTTGAGATGATAAACATTGTTATCACTTAAAAAGCACCAGCGGTGATATCATTTATTTTTGCTTAAAACGACAAATATTATAATTCAATCTAGCAGCTGGGAGTTCATAGACCAAGTTGGTTAAGCGAAGGACACTCAAAAGAGTAAGTTAAGCAGCATGTGAAGAGCGATGTATTGGCACAGACCATGGACAGTCATTACTGCATAGTTTTTGTTACTTCATCTAGTGAGTTCAAATTTGCCATCCACTTGTTCATGTGAACGATCAAAACATGATAAAAGCGAGAGTTTGCCTTTATCATAAAATGTGGTGGTAAAGTTGATAAAGAAACTACTCGAAAACTCTGTGGAAATCATCAGCAAACAATGTCCAGGAACGAAGTTGTATTTATCAAGTAACTCACTCCCTTGTAAGTAGTTCGTAAACCCAACTTCGACGTTAGGACCTGGATTCAGTCGTATGCTTTCAGCAACTGCAAAATCAAGGTAAATATTTGAGAATCGAGTTGTAGATAGTTGAATTATTATCATTGGTTCCGAATAAAGTTTCAGATGTATCGGCAGTGACGTAAATTCTAAGAGAAACCATTGAGTATTGATCTTATCTCCCATTTCCCTTAGGACAAATAACTATGTACCATTTTGCTTTCTCAAATACTCAGTATAGAGATAGACAAAAAATGAAGGCTGGGGAAATTTTCCAGGCAAGCAGAAATTCTGGCGATACGGTAGATCGTTACTGAAGTGAGGATGACACATTTGGTTTCACCACAGGTAATGAGACTTACACATTACCAACAAGAAAGCTATTGATTCCGCGTGCGATCTATGGGTGAAGCTGATTGGTCACATCCGAGGCATCTCGAATTTCATGAATGAGTCATTCTAGGAGCGAGAAACAACTGCAGTGACTTTGTAACCTGTCCTACTCTGACGCGATTTCACCACAATTAGGTCGATGTCGAGCAGCATACACGAGCAATTATTCATTGTGGTAACAAGGCCAAAAAAGGGGTGCGTAACTTACCTATTTCGTTCCCCAACACCAGTCAGAAAAAATGAACCGCCAAATTATCCAGTGAGAACATTGTGCCAACAGAGAAGCTGCTTCTTTGGAATTGTCAGAATTATCATAATAGCATGAGAAAATATGAAAAAGTTGTAGGTTTAAAACACTTGTTTCATTTAGTTCTCAAATTTTCTGTTCAATAAACTAAAAATCAATCCAATCTGAATGGATGATTTATGCAAAATGTAAACATTTATAGGCCAGGGATGGTTCTACTCGACGTTTAGGCAGCACATTTTTGATCACTTCTATGCAGAAGATAGTCACCTAAATTTTTTTATATATGATATGTTTTCCACCAGTATTCAAACTACTGAGAACATATAACGTTTTAATAAGTGACAAGATAATTTACCAAGCACAATCGTCATCGCACCCAATTCAAATTGGTTGGAGAAAGAAGTGACAGCCATAGACTGGACTGGAACTGAACCAACACAAGACTGACGCTGTTCGTTAATCCCTGTTATTTGCAAGTGTCTGGAAGTACCGCGAATGGCAGCTGCACTAATCAACCAATTCAGTGGGCTTGTCTTTCGACCGCTCCTTATAGAGCACTAGTTTTTCTTTACTTTATATGATGCCTCTGCTAGTTCTCGCTTCAGTGAGTCGAACCAAATTTGAAGGGACAAATGTTCATCCAACCGTCTTCAGAGTTACACAAGTTTCAAGCGGCAATGGTTCCTTTTGATGTATGTTATTCGTGAAGTCATTAGAAGATGGAAGCAGAATAATTTAAACAAACATTTGTCACGAACGAAATCGATCAGGGTCACGAAAGTGGAGTCGCATGAAAGACGAAGCTCAACTGGGTTTACAGGAGACTTGCACCTAACATCCTGTCCGTAAGACAATGCGTGCATCTGACTTACTTGCAGAAAATAGGTTTCTCACAGTTTCCCACGACTTCAGCCATCTTGTAGTGGCTCTCTTTATCGTACCGATCCTCCGGGTTTCCAGATATTCTGAAACAACAATTGTGGAATATTGCCATTCTTCAGATGTTTACTCTCCCTGCTTGAACTCGCTCACACGGAAGTAAATTACAAACCCTGTGGTTTTAAACACATCCAAACAAGAAACAAATTTTGAAAAGAAATGTAGAAATTTGTACCAGTTTGATCAATGTGCAATTTGTTGAGCTTGCCCCAGCATTCATCTTCGTCACGGACTGACCATCGTCACTCATCATCGAGTTATTTCTTGTCTAAATTTGAAAGCTGATAAATTCTGTTCGAGGATGCGCATGACACATATGACCGATAGAGTTCATTGCGAAACCTACTCCATACCTGTTAGCGTTTTAAGAATAATAAGGTGACATCGTTTTTAGACAAACACCAGTTTTATCTTTTTTGATAAAATACGTTTTCCTCTTAGACTGTGGTTTCGAAAAAATCGGGACGTAACTTTAGTGTTCGTCAATAATCCGTGTTTTTAATACTAAAGAAATTGGCCAAATAAAGTCAATGATCATCTGGCTAATTCATCGTGAGAGGATCCATCGTGTCCTACATCTGTAATTCATCATTACAAGGTCATACTTTCGCGTACAAATTACTCACAGATTTTAGATGAATGATGTCAAAAAACCTAACATTTTTGCCCAGATTGATGCCATAGTTACCCTGTTTAGGTCATTTGGGACCTAGAAACAAAAGTCTCTGAAGTACAGTACCTAGTTCATTCTGTATTTGCAAAGAAAATGATTTCGAAGGAATTTTTACCCATTGTGAACTTACATCACAGTGCATTTTCATTGATTAGTGCTACAACTTTTGAAACCATGGCCTACTTTAATAGACGTGAATAGGATTTATCACGAGCGTTTACATGTGTGGAAGCTGATGATGACGAATAAGAATGCACTAAATTTGAGGAGTCAATGAATGTTGAATCAGCCGCGATCAAGAATAATGGTCAGGGAGGTGATATAGCCATAATATGTGAATACCCAATGCGGATCATTACCATGTCCAAAGTCGAATAAAAAATGCATTTCAATAAGGCCGCACATTTGGTGAGCGGAGCTTCCGTCCATTTACTGGGTGGTCATTAGGTTATTTCAACGACGATACTGGAATGGTTCATGCCCCAAATCACGTATAAGGTGTGAAGTAAGAACCAGTTCAGCACCGGTCTCAGTCGTGATAAATACAGCGGCCGCCACCTGACCAATGAAAATGCTTGAGTTTTATTAAAAAGGTGTTTCTTCAAGCAAAGTCTCATTATTTTGCCACCAGTCCTCCTCGATAGTGTAGTTAGTTGTTGTGGCTATGAAGCGGACCTTTCGTTTTGAGTATGCTCACGTATGATGTGCAAACAAATTACTGGTAAATGTGGTTTGCGATGAATTTGATAGTTTTTTCCGCGTAGAGATAGAAGCCCACATTTCATCAACTACCCACTTTTGGCTTACACCAAATAATCATCCTTTCGTTCTAAATCATTTTACAAACTTGTACAAAGTAGTATCCTTGACAACTTATAAGACACGGCCATTCGTCTAACAATATATGGTCTATTTCTCTAACCGAGGGACACATCCGCGTGGTCCTACACTGTTTGCCAAACAAATACCCCTAAATAAACTAGGGTCCAGAGTCTCCATACCGTCAGCGAGGAAGATTTCGAACGAGATAAACACTACTGTACTTTTGAACCATACATTCGACTGCTACAAGTGTTTCGTCAAGGGAGCCAACAACAATTATATCTCCTTCCCAACCTGACAACCCAGATGAATAGGTGTTATTTTGAATTTCCCTAATGCTCATAAAGGTGAATGTCTTCTGGCATGAAATCGGAAGGCAGGATTCAAGGAAATAATGCCACCAGGTTACCAAGTGTTATGATCTTTCAGGACGGACAGTGATCATATTGATCGAGCGGTTCGACAGTAAGAACCCATCACGTCGACCGATGAGGTAATATCATCGATATTCGAAAATGATCATCAAAGGGGTTCTACAAACTTGTCTCTGAAACTAAAAAAATGATATGATGACAGCTGGAAAGCCGATCGAAGTACGTTCTGTGCATATCTGGTGAACCATCTTGCGGGAAAGTAGGAGAAAGTTTGTATTTTAGATGACCTTTTCCATGGCCAAGTTAACCTAGAGGTCCTGATCCGACAAGTATTGCCACTGATAATTTGAAACTTTGAAGTGACTTGCCAAGACAAAAAGTCACCTGCATAACGCTTCTTTCTTGTCCTGAGTTTAATCAGCATTACGGGACAAAGTCGCTCACGCGGTCACCTGAATCATCCTATTTCAATGGAATCGGATGTTTGTAGAACGATTTCTGAACTAGAGTGGGTCGAAAGTGGCCGTTTAAATTTCTAAAGAATTTCACGACTGTTTTTCAGCGGAGGGGAATGAAGCCACATGCTAGAATATACTATCAGGCGGTCCATAGTGAGCATAATGTGCTATTTTATTATTAAAAAGGTAGGTCGGAAAGATAAAAATGAGTAACTGCTCGAGAACAATAACATAACTCCATTCAGAACACATTTTGAAGTTGAATAAAGGACAAAACCTGAACCTTTTAAAAGAGGCATCGTCTTGTGTTGAACAATGTACAGAACGTAACACTTTCGTAAATTTTAGGACGACTTTTGAAGCTCCCCTAACACGTACGTAAGAATGGGAGTATTGTAATGTGGAACGTACAAATAAAGCATTCTTTGAAAATTATTGGCATTTTGTCGTGATTATGATATGCGAAAGTTGAACAACTACTTGGCAAAAACTTTCTTAAGATGGAATTTTTCCTTATCTGCCATCCATTTCAAGTTCCCACACGTTTTACGAATATGAAAACTATAACCGACCCCCTCGAGCATGATCGTCTTTTGTCGATTATACAACGCCTCTGAGTCATTCACCATTATACACGACGTTTTATAGCGTTGCTCGTTGTCGTCAAATACACGCATATATATATGTATATATGTACATATAAATGGATATGCTTATACATATATAAAAAAGGTTATATTTACAGATGCTTATATATATATATATATATATGTGCACACATGTATATTTGTTATATTGATGAAAAGTCGAAGTTTTCACATGCAATCTCGTTGTATTTTGGGCAAGCAGTAACCTAGACACGAATAACCGATACCATTTTCAGTTGCAATTCATTTTAGGCTCCTTAATGAAGAATATCTACTCATAAACAAGAAGCTTTAAATTAGATTCTAGTGATGCTTGTTGACATATATATATATATATATATATATATATATATATATATAGTAAAAATATACACAGAAGGATTTATATATAGTTCTCGTGTGTTTTGTGCACGTTTGTAAACCAATGGAGTGATATGCTTTATGAATCCGTTAAAATCAGCTGAATCGTAAATAAGCAAACAGAATTGAGGAAAAAAAACGTGAATAAAACCTACGTACGCATAAATACCCATTGTAACCGAATGAAAC